AGTTAGTTACAGCTATAAAATGATGATCGTTTCAGGTGTTACTGTGACTACTGTATTTTAGTACCTGCAYAGTTTTAGTCTTAACAGTTCTCCCTGGTAAAGATGTAAAGCAGTTCCATTAGTATTCAAAGAGAGTTAATGGAATGATTTCTACTTCTACTGTATGAATATCTCCCCCAAGATTAATTTCACTGGGGGAATTTTTCTGCCCCACAGTATGTGTGCATGGAGGGAATAGTTTAATTAAATCCAGCAAGCAGAAAAATACATACATGCATATATAATCAAAGCTTTTAACATTTCTTTAAATAATACTCAGCAATCAAAAAAGAATATATTAAACTATTTTTGATGACTCTTGCGCTTTTTATGAAGTGTGAGGTTTATTTTGAAAGCAAAACTGTCAAGATTTCTATTAGGCAAAAATACCTTTCCACAATGAGAGAAAAAATGCCATTCAAGAATATTCCCTCAAATAAACTACAGACTGTCAAAAATCAACTAGCTCTGAAACTGAGCCCTTTAATCTGCTTTGGAAAACCTTGAGTCTGGATCCTTCATTAACATAAACAGGCAATTTTTTCTTTACGTCAATTACACCAATTCTATCAGCTCTGAGGGGCTCRGCTTTGTGATTATAGAAATGTTTAGGTTTTCTAAGGGGATAGAGGAAATGGAATAGCAAGTCCACAAGTCATGGCCCTTCCTATACATTAGTTTGTCATGCTGCTTTGCCATTGAAGGTCCAGCTTCAAGGCTGCAAACCCGTTAGTGACCAAACTTGATGGACCACCCATTGGCCTTTTATTAAACAGCACTTGTTCCTCCTCTAATCCTATCACTAGAGTAATCAAAGCTGCCATGTCCCAGGGCTTGATGGAACAGCAGGACCTGGGAAATGAAGACTGATTTTGTTAACAAAGTCATTTCTGCCCCTTGAATGCTGTCTCATTGGTAGAAAGTRGGGAGACAGGGTTTATTTGTGCAGAGAATGAGGCGGCGAAGAAATGAAAGGGAAAGAATGGTGAAGTGTGAAGTTTAATCTGGCACGGTCTAAGGTTTCTTTATTTGAGGCAGTCTCTGATCCAATCAGCACCGGTTTGATATTTAACATCTCCCCCTGCAGTTTGAAGTGATACAGACCAGAGAATATTCAGATTCACAACGCAGAAAACCCAGACCAAAAGAGGAACAGAAAGGGTATTTTGCTACTCCACTTAGGTCGAAAGACTTATAGACATATCAGGATAGTGTTCTCTCCTTACAAAAAACATCCCATGCAGACTTTAGGATTAAAGGCATCTGACAACGGCTGAATGCAGATTCTCCCTGACAAGAGCAATGGGCAGGGAGAGAAGTTTCTTTCCTAATTTTCGGGAAGGAATATTAACATAGTCTCTATTTGTGTTAGTCCTGCTGAGAGTCCGGCCTGAGCTGTGAAATAAGAGATGCAAGAGGGACAGGAGTACARGGATGTCTGCCACACGTCTCCCCAGGGAGGGCTGCTCTGGGTACAGAGTAGGATCTTGGCCTTACTGACCTTACTGGCTCTCAGTGGCAACAAGATGTTATCCACAGGCACCTCCCACCACAGTGAGGAACTGGGGTCCCAGTATAAGCCCTCTCCAAAGGGGAGGAATGATCAGAGCAGACACAACCAGGGCCAGATCCGACAGCTGTAGGAGCTACCTGAAAAGTCCTCCTGGCTCAAAGCCTGTGCGAGGATACYGAGCAGGACGGAGAAGCCTGACCCTGTGCAGCTCTGCCAGGCTGCCACGGCTGCATCCCCAGGGCCCAGCACCGCTCTCACTCCAACTGGGTCCCCACCAGCGATGGTCGGAACTCCAGCAGCCCCTCTGCAAGCTCTGTCCTGAGCCTGCTCTATTTTGCAAATTTGAGGTCAGTCTGTAAACAAACCTCTAGACTGCCAGGTGGGAAAGTTGTGCCTGCTTTCTCTCCTTGGTGTGTCTTTGGCTTTTCTGGTTTTGTCTTCAATGAAAAGTCTGAAACCACCTGAAGAAAAGGAAGTGTAAAATTTGTTTCTGACCTATGTATTCCCCACTGCAGAGCTTCCCATCCAGCCTATTGCTCCAAATTAGAAGCTTTTACCACTAACTACCTAATTCTCAGAGTCGGCTCCTGGGTTTTGTGTTACCAGCACTTGCTGGAATCACTGGAACTAGGATGCTCCAAGAGTTTTCATAGACACCAGTGTTCGGAAAGCAGGGCAGTATGAATGATGCAGGTTTGGGAAAGCAGCACAACCTACCTTGCAAAAATTCCAGGGGGAGCAGAGTGTCAAACTACAAAGTTTCTGGGCTGACAATAGAAAACAATGTGCTCTGCTCTACCTGCAAGAGTGAGCTCTCCGGGAAGCAGCCAATTACAGGAGCCACCTTAATCTTTCCATCCGGCTAAGACAATCACCATTTCAAAGCAACGTGCTGAACGTTTCAAAGAACGTTCTTGGTCAAAAATGCAAGTGTATCCGCTTTCTTTCAGAACAGATCAAAACCAAGTACCATACCAGGACCACTCCTAGATTTCTTCCTCCTCRTGGTATCAGATTAACAGATTTGGTGCAAGTAGTCAGATTAAATATTTGCAGTAGCACAAAGCAGCCTTTGAGGAGAAAAGGAAAAGGCATTTTATTTTTTTTAATTTGCTATGGGCAAAAACACTGGATTTCAGGGACAGGARAACAAAAGCTTTGACATGATTCAGCAAGACACAATTTTCAAATGTGAAATAAATTGGACTAAATGTTGAAATTAAATGCAGAATTCCTGTAAAAATGCTGGAAACAGGTAAAAACTGCTGATGCCCTTAGCAGATTTGGAACTGTAATTTATCACAGATGTTCTCAATAAACTGTGCAAACACCCTACAAGAGAAAAGCTGCTCAATTTCTGATTTCCATTTTAGTGTGTTTAATTATGTGTTGCTTAAGGGAGCCTCTAAAACCTGGAATTAGGAGGCAAAACCTAGCAGTAGTAATCCACTCCACTAAATTAGCACAGTAATACACTAAGCAGTAGGACCGCCAGACAGTGTGATAACATTACAAATTACTATTGTTAAACAACTACCCAGGTGTCAGGATGCATGAAATCTAGAGGAAGCAAGAAAATAAATACCTAGTTTGGTTTGTTTAATTTTGTCGCATGTTGTTTTGGTGGCCTTGCTCCCAGAACCTGCTTCAGCCTAAGAAAAATCCTCCTGAATGCTATTTTCTGTATTCTCTGTAATAATTAATTAAACTGTGATGCACTTTTTAATCAACTCAAACTTTTTACTTAAATACTCCAACTTTTGCCATTTACCTACCTACAGCCTTAAGACTTCTGCTGCGTTTGTTTTGTTTTATTTTGTTTTAGTTTATTATTGCAGCAAAATGAAGGATTTTTTTAAATACTATCAAAAATTCAGTGAATAAGAGGAAAATAAAATCATGGCACAAATAGTGTGTTTTGTACTGTATCCTCTTTCCTTTCCCTCTTTTCCTCCCCCTCCTTCCCTGCAGGGAAAAGGAAAAAAAAAAAAAGTGTAATAAGATAAAAAGATTTCCAAGTAGTAGAATTTTAACCAAGTGTTTTAATGTGCTCGAATCTAACTGCTGGTTTTGACCTAACACAGCAATGCTGTTGAAAAACTACTGGGTGTTCAAAATGGTTAATTATTTTTATTTCATCTTAAAAAAGGGCTTCAACAGAGGGGATAGTTAACTCTGTTCAAGAAAAGCAGTTAAACCAATTTTTTGTTTTATGTACATGTTAATGTAAATGTATAGGCCTTTTTTTTTTTTTTTTTAATAAGCAAAGGAATCCCTCCAGATGTATATGCAAGCAGTGAAGTCTGTGTCCAGCTTACAGGCTTACAGGTGAGAACATCAAGTGAATCAAATGTTAGTAAAAGTTAGACTCTTAAAGGAGTTCCCATTCAGAGGAGAAGGGGGTGAAAGTATTCTAAAAAYAATTTAATCACACCAAAGCTCAGTCCTATAATCCTTATTCCCACAACACCAAAAAATATTAGTCAAACTAGAAAAAAAAGATAAAACTGTAAATAGCTGGACTGAAAACCATCAATGAAAGACAGGTTAAAAATAAGCTATCATAGCAAAAACTGAAACAATCTTAAATTTCCCCTGTATTATTTGTTTTCTTCCTCACACATTCATTTCCTGAATTTCTAGTAAATCTGATTTCATATAAACAGTTTCACAAAGCAAAGTCAGTAGCTGTGATTGTGTTCCTGATTAATCCACTGAAATGAAATAGATCTCCTGGCTTAGTTGCTTAAAGCTAAATCCACTGAAAGACATTCTGGAGTCCAGTTACATCAGTAACTGCAGTTTCTTAATCTACATCCTTTTATTTTTCTGAACTTTACCTGTCCTAAAAGGAAAAAATCCAATCAGATTACACACTTCATTTCTCCAAGTACATGACAGCAACGTGAACCAGTTTATTTTGACATGCAGTAACTGCTAAGCAGAAAACCATCCGYTTGCATGTATTTAATTCTATTTGGACAATGTTAAATTTCTTGTTTTTCTCAGTGTTCATGATTTCTTCTCTTCCTGACAAGCACCATACAGCTGCTTAATTTAAAAACAAACAAAAATAAAACCCTTTTTATGCAGCTTTTTAATGAGAGGACAGGAGGTTGGAATTTTTCCTCACCATTGACAAGCCAGCGGGGACGCACTGTCACACCCCACACTCCCTGCACTTTGCCACACGCATTTGCCTCACAAACAGATCATACACTTGATAAATGTGTAACCGTCTTTGCACATATCATGCTTTTTTTTTTGYACAGTGATCCCCATGGTGGAGAAGGGGCAGCCTGACCAGCTTCAGTGGCAAAAGCTGCAGAAGTTTGCAAGAGGGCCACCCTCTTCCATATGCTTCAAGATCCCCCAGTTAAACAACCAAAAYGTAAGCAGAGCTGCCCCCACCTCCTAGGATAGACCAGGAGGCCCAGAACTTCCTTACCTGGGAGAAGTTGAGCCCGTTCAGCGGATGACACTGCTCCTCCACCCTCTCCACCGCACCCGTCGTCTTCTTCATCCTCTCGGCCTCCTGCGCGAGGTAGAGATCGAGCACGGGCACCCCTCGGGAGCGGATGTCCGTCTCTGTCAAGGAGTTCACCATGAGCATCACCCAGACTGGCCTCTTGCGCTCCCAGTTGCCAGCAATGGCATTGAAGAGGTAGTCAGCGTAGAGCCCTTTGCCCCGCTGGTCTGGGGTCATCCAGTGGGGCAGCATGAGCTTGATGTAGTCCAGGTGGCGTTTGAGGCGGCGGTAGAGCTCCCGGGGCAGCACGTCCTGCAGGTTCTCGCCATGTGGCAACATCTGGCAGCTCGCCAGGCCCGAGATGGTGTAGGGGTCAGTGAGGTCCAGTTCAAAGTAGACACTAGAGCTGGCATGGAAGGCAGCCTTGGAGTTGTCAGGAATGAAGTCCCACACCCGCGTGTAGGGCACGTGGATGGTGCCGAAGAGATAGGCAGGAGGGTTGCGGCGGATGGTCCAGAGGAAGGAGTTGAGTTCTCCTTGCTGTGGGGAGAGCAGAGGCTGGTCAGTGACGGATGGACAGAGGGTGCAAGGGCCACCCTGGCACAGGGCAAGGACAGGAGGCAGCCACACACTTGTGGGACACAGTGCCCACGGGGAAAGAGCAGCGGGGGCAACATCTCCCGCATGTTCCTGCACAAACCCCGGCCGAGCTCAGGGGCAAGCAAAGCTGCAGACAGCAAATGTGCGAGAGGGCTCCAATACAGCAGGAGTCGCGCAGTGACCCCCTCTATCATACACACACACTCCCTTAATGCACATAGCGAAGCCTCAGCAGAGGCGTCCCGTACGCCAAACCGGCCTTATCTCTCCATATGTATCTCTGTGTATACAAGAGTTTCTCGGCGCGGAGCAGCCCTGTTCACGCAGCGCGTGTGCGTGTGCACAAAGCACCCGACCCCCACGCGCACGGGGCACGAGCGGCGCCCCGGGCCGGCCGCAGCCCCGGGAGCCGCCACACCTGCGCGCCACGCGTGTCCGCGGCGGCCGCGTGGGCGCCCCGCGCGAGGCCGGGCGCTCACGCACGCCCCGTGGCGCCCGCACGGCCGCCCCGGGCAGCGGGACGGGGGTGCCGCTCTCGTCCCCCCACGCCGGGGCGGCCCCGCTGCCGCTCCCGTCCCCCCGCTCCAGCGCCGTCCCGGCGTGGGCGCCCGCGGCGGCTCGCGGGCATCCCCGTCGGGGCTGCGCCGTGCGGCCCGGCCCGGCCCGGCCCGGCTCACCGAGCGGGGCAGGTCGCACTGCCCCGTGTCCATCTGCTCCCGCCGGGCCGCGGCGTCGGGCAGGAACCCCCCGAAGACGAAGCAGATCAGCGTCAGGTTGAGTTGCATCCCGCTTCCTCTCGCTCTCCTCTCTCTCTTTCCCAGATGAGCCTTTTTGGATTTCTAGGATCTTTTTTTTTT